GACAACCCCGTAACAATATGCGTTTTGTACTGCTGTTACACAGCACAAAACGCATAAAAAAACCGCACATGGTAGGTGTCAGCGTGCTGTTCAGTGCAGCCCGGTCTCGAACTAGGCCACGTCAACAGAGGAGCAGGCCCGATGGGGCTGCAGACGGTGAGGCGGAGGGATGTTCCGGGAGCTGGTCGAAATGCAGCAAACAGAAAAACGAATGAATTACCTGGCGGCGAGAGGCGAGAAGGCCGGTGGAGCCGGGGAGAGCGGACGAGAGGCCCGGATCCACCAGGGTACTCTGGTAGAGCATGTAGACGATCGTGCTGGTCCATCCGATCAGAAGCAATGTCACGGCCCACTTCATGCGACATTTCACCATCACCTGCAGGCAGTTCTCTGCTGCACACAGTGCCAGCGCGCTCATTCAGCGAACTCCAAATTTAGATAAAATGAAATCTCGAAATTCAGGCAGCCTTTCTGCACGTGCTGCTGCAGTGCCATCCGGAAGGGCCTTTTCGAGCAGCCTCCTCTGACAGAGACACAACAGCTAACAGTGCAAGGCTGAGTAACGAACCGGTTGATAAACTGCTCACTGAGATTTGTTCGTCAAGCGATTCAGCGGCCTGCTCCCGGACAGCCCATGACGAGCCGTTACGCGCGGCCCAGCTGAAATGCACAACGCACTGGGGAACGAATCCACATTCCAGCAAATTCCGAGCACACATGCACAGACCCGCCCCCACTCGCCCCAAAAACACACCCCAGCCAGAGAGTGCACGTGGATCCAGCGGCACGGCGCATTGCACTTACAACAATTTTGTACGCTGCAAAGCAAACAGCAGAATTAACTCGTCTCCGGAGAGGGGCAATGGCCCGGCCGCAGCAGCAGCAGCAGCGGAGGCGTGCCGCATTAGCAGACAACGCTTCCAGCGCGACTTGTAGCAGCGATGCTGCCACAGCAGCAGTGCAAGCAGGGCTCCCTCCAGTGAAGCAACAGGCCGTTCAGGATGATGCTCCCCTTCCGCCAAATTAGCACTAACAGGATTAATCAAAAATCCAAGTGAAATCCATCGGGCACTGCCCAGAAATGAGGGTTTAGTGGCAGCCGACCCTCACACCCACTCCTTCCCTTTCTCTCGAGCGACGGAACGCAGCGCATTCCGACCTCCAACCCTTCCTCAGGCCGAGCCTGACAAACCAGACACTGCTCTGCTAATCGTCGCATTATGGTGCTAAGGGATGCCTCACGTCCAGACCTCTGCTCGAGTGGTTCGGTTCTTCCTCGCAGGCATGCGAGTTCTGATCACCAAAGTCAAGTTGTTTCAAACGCTCGTCCCTCGCTCACAGTATTCGCTGTCTACGAGAGGCGGAATCACCGAGAAGTGGCCCGAACAGCAGTAATCGCCGGCTGGTAAGGCTCTCGATGGCTCCCTCTTCCGAATGTTGCTTACACGCAAGCTGGCAATGAGATTTGTTTTCTGAGCAGTCTAAATCTCGAGCTGGTAAGTTACCAAAAAATTGAGTTCAATGTGTTCGTACGTGAACGGTGGGGGATACATAGAGGCTGAAATTAGATTTTTTGGGGCATACGTGGACAAGGAACATCTTCGCAAAATTTTAGCCTTCTGGCTTACCTGATCTCCGAAA